CTAATTCCCAGTCCTTTTGGTTATACAAGGACGCGAAACGTAAGTTCCGGCGTAAACCCCGCCAGTTATCAGAGAACCATCTTATTACTCTGAATTCCGACATCGAAGAAGCGGCGGATATAAATCAAAAGTCGTTTTGGTCTATGGTGAGATCTCGTGCTGGTGGTGGATCTCGTGGTTCAGCGGGAGCTGAAGTAATGTTTGGAAACCAGACTGTCAGAGACCCTGCTGCGTTAGCGTTGCACTGGGGCGAGTATTTCTCCGGTATTTACTCCCACTATACTGACCGCCTCTTTGACAATGACTTTAAGTCGTCTGTCGAATCCGAGTTGGCAGAATTCCTATGCCATGATGCTCCAGCAATAAGCTCTTCCGAAATAACTTTTACAGTGGATGAAGTTAACCTTACCTGTAAAAGTCTTCCTCTTGGAAAAGCTCCTGGCATTGACTCTATTGTATACGAACACCTAAAGTATGCTTGCACTTCACTCTATGTATGTCTTTGTACATTATTTAATGCTTTCATAAGGTTTGAATATGTACCTGTGTCACTCAAACATGGTTTGATTTGCACGTTATATAAAGGTCATAATAAGCCAAAGAATGACCCAAATAGCTACAGAGCGATTTCTCTTCTACCCGTTATTCTAAAAGTGTATGAAAAACTACTCTTGAAAAGATTAGAGTCCATGAACCTTTTTCATGTAAATTCATTACAGCATGGTTTTCAAAAACAAGCTAGCAGCTCTATGACTTCATATATCGTGCAAGAAACAATTGCGTACGCTTCTGAACATGATAGTAAATTGTTCACTTGTTTTTTAGACGCGTCTAAAGCCTTTGATTGTGTCTGGCTCGACGGTCTGTTTTTAAAACTATCACATTTGGGTTTTGACAGAAAAATTGTTAGTATGATTATGTCTTTACACAAGGATATGTATATTGTTGTTATGCATCAAAACTTTGTGTCTGAAGTGTTCGAGATAAGCCAGGGAACACGTCAGGGCAGTATTATCTCCCCTTGGCTCTACTCTGTTTATATCAACGATTTATTGAATGATCTTTGTAGTTCTGTATACTCGCTAGCTATATCTGATGTTAATGTCACGTGCCCTACGCAAGCAGATGATATTTGTCTTCTTTCACTTACCAAACACAATTTAGATATGCTTATAGATATTTGCTACAAGTATAGTTGTAAACGGAGATTTAAATATAATGCCTCCAAATCAGTAGTTATTGTCTTCAATGAAAGTAGCAATGTTCGCTCACAATCGTATCGTACTTGGTATCTAGGTGACAATGTTGTTAATGAAAGCACAAATGTTAAACACGTGGGTATTAATTTGAATAAATTTAAACCAGGTCGGCCTGATGTTGACGATGTTATCCATAAACTACGAGGTCAGTGTTTTGCTCTACTAAATTGTAATTTATTTGGTCCTAGTATCAATCCCTTGACTGGAGTCCATCTATATTTGTCTGTTGTACTCCCTAGAGGTATGTTTGGTTGTGAGCTCTGGAACTCTCTGTCCAACTCTGATTGGCATCGCCTAGAATCAGTCCATCATTTATGTGCAAAATTGATACAAAATTTCCCACTTCGTACTAGGTCTAGTGTAGCATTGGGAATGTTAGGTTTATCTTCTATACATCTTTACGTAGAGCAATGTAAGCTTCGTTTTTTCGGGGCTTTGTGTAATATCAAAACAACTTGTACTTCAAAGCAACTCTTTTTGTTGCGTTTACATCAAAAACATCTTGGGGTAAATAACGCTAAGAAAGGTTTCATCAACGAAGTTTGGGATGCTTTGCACAAATACCACTTCCGAGGCATCTTACTTGATTTTCTTAATTCTGGGAAATTTCCATCCAAACTTGGCTGGAAATATCTTGTAAAGAATGTCCTTCTGTGTAAAGAATCTGATGACTGGCGTTTACGTATAAACAGTTCGTTAGAATTTCATAGATTCAAAATTCTTCATCCTGATATGGTTCCTGCAGTAATCTGGTCATTTTCTAAACGCCATTCAAATTTTAACAGGACATGTAAAACTGTGGCAAAAATGTGGATTGCCCCTCCTACTTGTGAACTTTTATGTGCTCGATGTAAAGGCACTTTTGAAGACGCAGTCGCCCATTGTTTACTTGACTGCAAAGAGCCCATATTAACGTCTCTGCGAGATAATCTTTTTACCAGTTTTGTGGACAAATATCCAGTTAATGTGTATGTATCATTTGACCAGGCAGACAGAGATGTCCAGACAGCGGCTCTGTTGGGTGCCCCCAGTGAGGACATTTATGAATCATTTTATGACGATTCATCTTTGTTTACATTTTTTATTAAAGAGTGTCTAATGTTTTCTGAAAAGGCCTACAATATGACTTTTCAGTAAAGGCCATCTCCTATCTAATGTTTGATGTGTTCTGCTAGAAATCTCCATTATTGATGGATTGGTTATTCACATTCACTGTTCAATATTTATATACATATATTCTTGCACTTTTTTCTTTAATTTTCACCTAAATACAATATTTGTCATTGTAATTACTCTTCAATATTTGGAGGAAATAAAGAAATGATGATGATGATGCTACAAGCCTAATATCAGTTCCCCCTTGCTTTTTGTTTGATCAAAGATGTTTGAAGATTTCATATACATTTGACACCCGTGACCTTGAATGTTAGTCAAGGTTATTCATAATTGCGTGCCTTAAAAAACAACACCTGTAGATCAGTATATACTAAATACTAGTGCTCTAGACCCTGTGGAACTTGAAAAGAAGATTGTTTAACACTGGTACCCTATATTGTACATTTCAACAATGATTTAAACTTTGACCCCCTACGGAAACCGGAAGTTGACATTTTTCCTGATCACAATATATGAGAAAGTATCATATCTACAACATATCCAAAGATGAACTTTGTATCTTGAAACGTTAAAGAGAAATAACTACATAATAACGAAGAAATACACCTTTTAAAGGTTCAAACATATTTGACCCCTGTGACCTTGAATGTCGGTCAAGGTTATTCATATTTGCAAGCCTTATAATGTAACATCTGATGATCAATATATTTCAAATATTAGTTCTCTAGACCCTGTGGAACTTGAGAAGAAGATTGTTGAACATTGGTCCCCTATTTATATATTTTAACTTTGAACCTTAACGGAAACAGGAAGTTGACATTTTTCCTGATCACAATATATAAGAAAGTTTCTTTGTTTGTTCATCTCTACAACATATTCAAAGATGAACTTTGTATCTTGAAACGTTAAGGAGATATAACTACATAATAACGAAGAAATACACTTTTTAAAGGTTCAAACATTTTGACCTCTGTGACCTTGAGTGTAGGTCAAGGATGTTCATATTTGCAAGCCTTATTATGTACCATCTGATGATCAACATATACCAAATATTAGTTCTCAATACCTTGTGGAACTTGACAAGAAAATTGTTAAACACTGGTACTCTATTTTGTATATTTGAACTTTGACCCCTTTCGGAAACCGGAAATTGACATTTTTCCTGATAACAAATCTACGAGAAAGTTTCTTCGTTTGTTAATATCTATAACATATCCAAAGACGAACTTTCTATTTTTAAACGTTAAGGAGATATTACATCAAAAAAAAATTTAACCATTTTTAAGGTTAAAATATATTTGACCCCTGTGACCTTGAACATAATTCAAGGTCGTTCATATTAATTAACTTTATTTTCCACTACTTGAGTATGATATTGACCAAATATCATGACCTTAGGCCTTTTTTTTTTGGTTTTTGAGAAGAAGATTGAACCCTTGAACTTCGATGCCTACCGAAAACCGGAAGTTGACGGTGTATTTTTTGTCCAGTTTGGTAGTACTTCATCCGAGCATGCTACATAGCAAATATGAGAGCCCTACATGTTTTGGTTATTGGAAAACATTAATTTAATAAATTTAAAATATTTGACCCCAGTGACCTTGAACATAGGTCAAGGTTGTTTATATTAACAAACCTAATTTTCCACCACTTTAGTATGACTTGGACCAAATATTATGACCTTAGACCTTTTGGGTTTTGAGAAGAAGATTTTTGAAATTTGTATCACAAAATCGCACTTTTGAAATTTGACCCCTACCAGGAACCGGAAGTTGTCGTTTGAAAGAAAAATGTTTCATGAGTAATGTTAATATATATCTAATTCTACATCACATATCCAAAGTTGAATTCAGTACATGGAGCCGTTCATGAGATACTGACACTAAGCTAAAATCGGAAATGACGTCATGGCGGCCATTTTATTTTTTCAACCTGGTTCACAGTCTCACCAATTACTAAAATGACTATGGGGAAACTTTTCAAGACCAATTAAATCAGATATTTATAAAAGATTTTGGAAAAATTCAAGTTCAAACTTTTTGTTGGCATTTCAAAAGCTCAAAGGAAATTTTCAAAATGGCTTTAAACGGTAACGAAAAACGTCACGGAAAAAAATGAAGATATCAACTTCATCAGATAATCATTCTGCATTGATTGATGCAAGAATTTTTCAAAAATCTTGAAAAATGAACATTTTTAAAAATTTGTGACCTTTGACCCAACAGCGAGCTTTTTTATTCGACAAATTTTCTGATAACATGTCATGACAAAAATTAAGATAAGGAAATCTCTACAAATAATATAATTGCACAAACTCTTCACGATGAATGGTTTTAAAGTTAGAGCAGTTTTAATGTTTTTAGTTTATGACGTCATGGCGGCCATATTGGATGATTGACCTATTTGAAGATGTTCCTGTAACATCTTCAGACCTTCATCAAAAACATGATAACTAAACCATCAACCTTTCATTCACTCTTCTAAAGATAGAGAATCTACAAAATACAGAAGAATAGTAGAAGAATAAGAAACTGAACAAAAACAATAGGTCTCTTCACCTTTGGGTGAAAAGTCCTAAAAACAAACAAACAAAAATCAAACAAACAACAACAAAAATCAAGCAGAGTACAGATGTTTGATTCTTGGTCATATTGTTTATCAATAAAACATTTTCAAAAAGAAACACGCACAACTTTGGACAACGTGAATTTTTCAAAAAAGAATACCGAGAACAATCCATTGCCTACTTTTGAAAAATATTTTAGTATCAATATAAGACTTTAACTGTCAAAATTAAAAAATGGCCCAGCTCGGCAATTTATTCTTTGAAAAGTCTCCATACGTTGATTTTCAGGGCAACTTTAATACATAGCTTTAACAACGTGAGAAATAATCATTTATAACAAGCTCCATATTGTCAAAATCCAAAATTCTGTACAAATAGAATTTGAGTACCATATTACAAACAACCACAAAAGCCAAACTCCAGAAAGTGTCAATCTCCAAATTTGTCCAGAAGCTATAACTTTTTATCTGTTTAAAGATGGAGGTGTGGAATGTGGACGACTGCAGATTAGCGTGGCATGCCATGTGATTGAAAATGAAACGTGAGAAAGATTTTATTTTCTGCCTATCTTGGAAGTTCTGCGATCTATACAAAATTGTGACTCCTTAAATAATGCTTCTGACACTAAAATTCTCATCATGATACAATATTTGCAGAAAGAGAAAGCTTTGCAGAATGAAATTAGTCCTATTCCCACATTAGGCTCCCTAAGGGCTATTAACTATTCACCAAATGTGCATTAGACAATACTTGGTGAAATCTTAGGTCGCTATTCTGAATCATCACCAAAATGTAACAGTCTAGCTAATTCATTGAGATGTTCATGCAACATGTTATGCTCATTTAATGTTTTTCCTTCTTTTTTTAACTATAACTTGTCAATCTTATTGGTTCCAAAGTACATTAGCAATTTTAGGTTTATTTTACAAGAACTGAATGCAAGACAAGTTATATAAACTTCTATGGATCCATCCCATTTCTTGCCAAGGATGAAATGAAGCAGTGCTTAAGGAGTCTTACTGTGGTAGGGAAAAATGGTCCTGGGCAAAACCAACACATAGTTTGGCAGGGTATAATTTTTCATGTCTGACTGGGGATTCAAACTCCTACCATTTCCTGTTCATCACCTAATTACCCTGGTACAGGATATATATATAGACTGAAGACAAAAAACCTTTGTGTTTTCTCGTATTTAATGTCAAACAGAGCCTCCATGTAAAACCTGTCATGATGTTAAATGAAGATTAATTTGCCACAGATGAAGAACATGATCATAAAATGAACACGTCGCCACAGTTTTTAAGCAGTTCTTATTTACTGGGATATTTAATTTATCTTGTACTTGTACAATGTTTGTATTCCCTAAGGGAACTGGCGAGCCCATTCTATCCTTCCCCTTCCCAGAGGCCTGTGAGGAGAGATCCATGAAGCACCAGTCTGCCCCGTAACCTAGGGATGTGTGTTTGTCATAATGACACAGGATAGGAAGTGGTTCCTCTGAAAGATAAAAAATCAAGGTTTGTTGTGAAAAATATCTGAAGATTTGCAGTGACAATTGTGACAAATATCGGAAGGTTTGCAGTGACAACAGTGACAAATATGAATGATTTGCAGTGACAATATTGACAAATATTGAAAAAGTAGTGAAAATGTAGTCCTCTCAAGCCAAAGTTTTGAAAGCAATTTAGACAATTTTGACATACAAGAGGACTAGCAGCCTTGATGACTACCTGAGATAAGCAATATTGAAAATAAAGGTTAAAGGATAGTTATCAAGTGTCATGAAACAGAAATTGTGACACTGAATATAGACAGGGTCAATACATGCATTCCATCAAATCTGCAATTCCATACTGATAATTCCTATAAACTTATTTCCAACGTTATGCTCAAAAATGCTATTTTTCTATGAAAATTACAGTAAAGTCTAACAAAAATATTCCTCCCCAGGAAGAAGTGTGAGACTCATTTTGGTAATTAAAGCACTTGAAGACCATTTAATTCTACTATATTTTGGTGTAGAGAAGATTTTTGCGATTTAAGTCAATTTGACCTCTTTTGGCCCTGCCAATCAGCCCCTGGGGGTCAGTCAGAATCAAAATGGGCATCCCATCAAGCCGTCATCCTTCATTCATAATTTCAAAGTTTGAAATATTTCCAATGGAAATTAATCAAATTATGCTCAAAAATCTAGTTTTCCTATATAAACTATAGTAAACTTTACCCCCCTCCCCACGGAGAAATGTGAGACCCTGGGGCAATGAAATTCACATTTGTGGCAAAGCCCCTTAAGATGCTTCCATTCACAAAGAGCATTTGATTCTACCATACCCGGGTCTTGAGAAGAAGATTTTTTAAATTTAAGTCAATTTGACCCCTTTTTGCCCCATCCCTTAGGTCCCCGGGGGTGGAGACTGTATCATTTACAAATTTGGTTCATCTTAGGCTAGGAAAGGTTTCTGCAAAATTTCTTTGAAATTGGATCAGGAGTTTTTGAGAAGAAGTCGAAAGTGTTAAATTGTTCATGGACGCATGATGCCGGATGAAGGGTATTAAGATAAGTCTAGATTAGAATTTGTCTCAGGTGACCTAAAAATGCACATATTTTCCATACAATTTGTTTTTAACATGCAGTGGCTTAAGTATTCCTATATACATCTTGGTTCTTTTTCTGCTCAGGGTTCACCTGTAGTAAATACCATCATTTCAACACCAAAGTGTTCTTAGTATTTTCTTTAATTTTAGTTTTCTGACAAATTTCTTATTATCATTTTAATATATGGTAAGACATGGAAATTTATACAGTTTTCAGATTCGGATTATAGGCTATTTAACAACCCAACCCTTCCCCAGTTTCGCAGGACAATAAATCATAGATCACATAGACTGGTGTCCAAAACTGAAAGTTGTTTCCAGTAGGACTGGAATTAGAGATAACAGATCTATTACATCTAAGGAAACTGTTCAATGCCATGCAAGGACAAATTATCTGCACATACTTGATAAACACACAAATGTACAATAAAACTAACCAGTAATGTTGCTAGCATCTACAATATGGAAGCCATTATACATGGTGGCAGTGAGAATGTGTTGTCCATGCATTGGCTCCCATTTGATTCTCCAGATTCCCCCACCCAGAGGAGTCGTCACTACGGGGGACCTCATGTTACGAGTATCCCACAACATCAAATCTTCATCATAGCTGTAACAAAGATACATAACAGTTCTAAAATGTCTGGATAAATTATACCAGGATAAACCAATAAAACATGATTAGCCGCAATTATAATGTGTTTTATCTGACTACCACAGAGATGACTCAATCAATTAAACAAAGGGAGATAACTTTACATTTTATTGGGTTTATATATTACCTGCCCGTACAGAGTAGATGTTCCTTGATTGGACTGCACTGGATACTGGTGACACCCATAGTATGTCTGTGTAGTGGTATAATTATCAAATTTAACAAATTTTAAAATATTCCTACATAACATAATATCAATCTGGTCCATTTGTAATATTAATCAATCTGGTCCATTTATAATATTAATCAATCTGGTCCATTTATAATATTAATCAATCTGGTCCATTTATAATATTAATCAATCTGGTCCATTTATAATATTAATCAATCTGGTCCATTTGTAATATTAATCAATCTGGTCCATTTGTAATATTAATCAATTTGGTCCATTTGTAATATTAATCAATCTGGTCCATTTGTAATATTAATCAATCTGGTCCATTTGTAATATTAATCAATCTGGTCCATGTGTAATATTAATCAATCTGGTCCATGTGTAATGAAATTTACAAATGTTTTATGTATGTTTTTTCCTTTACCTAATTATGCACAATTAAAAGTATCAAGGGGGTCTATTCCTTTTTAGAAGGTCCTCATTCTACTTTTAAATTGATGAAGCTTCATGTCCAAAATAGTTTTGCTCAGTTCCTTGGTAAAAAGGCTTTCTGCTAGGAGAACCACCAGAATTTCATAATTCCAATTTTGTTTTTGTTTTGACGCTTTTTAAAAATTAATTCTACTTTATTTAGTAGCACTAGTTCTAATAAAATTGTCACCTCCTGTTCACAAAAATTGCTTGTCTGGGATTCATCCTCATATCCCAGCCCTTCAACTTGTTGTCATCGCCACCTATATGAAGACAAAAAAGGTCATGACCAATTGTTATGATGTAACTAAAAATCAAATATTTTTTACATAATTACAATATAAGCACTTCAAAGTTGTACAAAAATCCAGAATTGTTTATTCAGTTGCCATAGCAACAACAGACAGGAAATGCTTCAAAGGAATAGCAAATATTCAACTTGAAGTCTGCCATTCTGCACAATAGCTGATTACATTTGTAAGCGACGTTACCTTAGAACTTGATTGTAAAACCACATCTAAGTAGAATCCAAAATCACAAGATAATTCTTCAAAGTCATGATGGTGTAAAATCTTTATGTTAAATGAAAAATGTCTACTGTGTCAATTAAATAAATCTTTCAGTATTTCTTTTACTTTTGCCAGCACATCCGACCTGTCTGTCTTTATCTATTGATGTGAATTTGACTCCCACCTAACCTTTGATCTTGCATAAGTTTAAATTCATTCTATCATTCACTTTACATTATATTCCTTATAACTATAGATCTACCAAACCTTTCAATATTTTCAAAATTTAAATTTCACTTCAAACATCCACCTTGCTTACATTTGATTTTCCCAGAATTGTTTTTACTCTCTGGCTTTAATAGTCTGTTATACTGACTTAACATTTACCTGTGTAAATGAGATTGGTGTCCCAATAATTATAAGCAGTAATCCAAGCCTCAAAGTCATGACCTTTCCAACTTGTCAAAGGCTGAAGGCTACCACCATCCACTGCATGTACATGGATATCACCAGTTGATGTGGAACTACATATGTGAGCAGATCTGCAGACAAAGAGGAGCCAATGAAATTGCCTCATATGAAGTAATTATGTAATTATTTTGTAATAAACAGAACAATCAAACAGCGGTGTACTATGGAAACAATGAATCTTAAATTGGCTGCATTTGATGCTATTAAATAATGCTGATTCACATACCTTCAAAATGCAAGGGTAATGCACTAATTCAATATACTTTTTCTACTCCCTTAGAATATGTAATGGCTAATTTGAAGTCAATGTTTGAGTTGCTTTGATAGAGTTTAACTCAACACGAAGCAGCAGTAGAATTGTTTCATGTCACATTAAAACAAAATGGTTGTCAGCCTTTGTGAGTAGTCACTATTTTACGATTGTGAGTTTTGGATTTTAACATGACAAATTCCAGTGGTATACACAAGATGTCATACTCAGGTATGCATAGTGGGAGAAGAAGCATTTCATTTTGAACACAGGGACTTGACACAAATTCCTAATCCATGGTCCATATACATGTATATCACTATAATATGTATATATGGACTGTTGATTGGGATTTTGAAGATATAAGTTCAGCACACTATTGGTTGAAGCAAATATGTCAATGATCTTAAATTCAGGTTGTTACTTAAACAACATTATCCCTGGAAGAATGCTTCATAACAAATTTGGATAAAACTTCTTCATCTATTTTTGGAGGAGTAGGATTTGAATTTTTCTTGACCCAACAATTCTCCAAGCTTATACTGTAGTAAACCTCACCAGAACTTTTCCTGATGAGTAGCAGTTTTGAAAAACAAAAAAAAAATTAGCTGATACAGATAGTGGATGACAAATGCCTTGCCAGCTTAAAGTCAACTGACTTTTTGGACTAGCTCAAGCAAAATGTCATCTCCTTATCTCTGTGACTGTATATATGAAAAATAGCCACATAATCCCCCTAGTCTCTTTTTGCTACTCATTTTGAAAATACTCACTCATTGTGAACTCGATTTGACCAATCAAGTGACAATCCTAGACAATCACCTCCAAGGTCAAAGTTTATAACCTCTGATAAGTCAACTTTTCGGCCTGAAGTGTCAGTGTCGCTTGTGGTCATCCTATAGAGTCGTAACTGACCGACTGAGTTAACTAGTGCCATTAGAGATCCATCTGGAGTTGATGTAGGACACCACTTTATGTCCAGAATCCCTGGCATGTCCAGTGTAGTCTCTGTGGTCAGTTCCTGACCACTGGTCAGTCTGTGAACATATAATCTTCCATGTCTGGTCTGTCGTCGCTGTAGAGCAGTGCTATCATCTGATGCCTGAAAATGAAATATCAGATAATCTCATATTAGATAGGATACTGAGAATAATGCTGTAATGGTACAAATGATATCCTGCAAACAATGAATTTTAGGTCATGGTAGATAAGTACAGCATATCTTATTAAGCTTTAATCTACAAAAAAAGTCTCTAATTTCATCACAATCAATTTCATATAAGGAGGTTGCTAAATTCTGCATTCCAGCTTCATTCAATATCACTCCAAAAATACCACATGAATGTCAACCAGTGTGAAGTATATAAAGTGTTATATCAGAATATTCTTGTATTTAACAATTCTTATGATCACTCTGGATTTTCCTCAGTCATCTTTAAGGCCTTGACATTCATAGGTCACCAACACATCATAGAAGGATGAAACAGCTGTATGATGTAGTTTAATTCATTATTAGGCTCTGTTGTATCTAACTCTTAATTTGTATTAAAAGGTGCTGTAAACTTGTACATGTCTTTTGTACAACCTCTGAGATTGCAGATGGCAGACACTGCCAGTGGATCTTTTAGCGCTCGAAGTTTGCTGTAACCTTCATCCAAAGTTTTAATTCATTTTAATAGTGGTACAGTACAGAATACATGTACTTCTAAAATATTCAGAAAAAATATACTGAATCATGGAGTTAGTGCACCTCCTCATGTAGATTTTGATGTTTCTTTCAATCAGTTTGGATATCTCATTCAGCACAGAGAAAATAAGTGTAAATTGAAGAAGTTCTTGAAAGTTCAAGTGCCATAACTCCCTAAAAATAAGTCAACCATAACAATAATTGAACTTGTCATGCATGTTTTTACAATCTAAGCTGTAAATCTCAGTTTAATAACCCCATCAGCTTTAGAGGGAATACTCTTCATTTTTTTCATATTCTCTGCATGAAAGGGCCCTAACTCTTTGAAAATGTTGGCTGACCAACACAAAATAGAATATTGAACTGCATTTTCTCATGATAAAACTACATAATAAATATCTACCAGGTAAATAATATCTACATCCATTAAAACAGAACAGAACAATATTATGACAGAAAAATAGAATGTTGATCTGGGTAAAAACACAATATCTATTCCAGTCAACTTATGGCAGAGGCATTATGAAGTCAAATGAATTTTTACAAACCCAGGTAGTTAATATTCTTCGATATGTACTGAATACAATTTTTTCTATCTTACCTGTGTGTCAGACTTAGAACTAGAAGTATCCAGTTGATATGTACCACACAACAATATATCATGATGGTTGCTATGGGGACACCATTCTGTGGAATCTGCACTGGACTCTGTATCTAGCGTTTGATAAGTTGAACATGTTGCCATGGTAACACATTAATATTCAGGTCAGAAGTTTCTTTATAGTTAATACACCTGTGTTGAAAAAGAAAAAATGAGTAAAATCAAGCCAAGCAAGTCAAGACAATGCAATGTTTTTAACTGGTTAACATTTCCATGATGTGGCCAACTGTGACCTTTTTAAGAAGGTCAAGGTCAGTTCTATAAAGAAATTTTACAGCACTCTATAGATATCCTTGGTACGTATATAGCAACCATATTGTTCTGCTTATAGACAAATATGACCCTTGTAAACTTGGTTCTATCCCCAGTACCCACTGGACTCTTGCTCTTAAGTTTTTAGAAGCTTATCAAAATGTTGACTGATTATGTATCATCATTTTGTTGGTGAAATCTCCAAGTCAGTGATAAAAAAACCAATAGAACAATTTACAAAAGCCAGCTATGTGTATATAGAACAAATATTTTAAAGTAATGGGTGTTGAATATACTCTAAATTTCAAGTTCATGTGTTTGCCCTTTTGAGCAAATATAACCCAAAATATGTTCAGATTCTGTAAACTTACATAAATAAAATGTCAAAAGAACTTAGCACTCATGTAGAGCTTTTCAGTGTAAGGATATAATACATGTAAGTAAAAAGGCTGACCCACAGAGACCAAAGCTTAGCAGCCCTCCAATGTTGTAAGTCTTTGGGTGCATTGCAGGAGATCTGGATAAAAATAAGTTCTTGAATTTTGAGCTCATTGACTATGATCTTTGCTAAAACCCTTTGAGAACTATGTGTCAGATCCAGAAACTTCTAGCAGTGATTAATGCAACAGTGTCAACATTCAACATATTCCAAGTAGCTATCATTAGATTATGTTTATTATTTAGAAGACGGTGGGCCAAAATGTTAAAAAAACAACAGGACAGAAACCATTTTGTTTATGGAATCATTTTAATTTCTTTCTTTTTGATTTCACAGTCAATGTCTTTGTTTCTTATATCAGACTGGTGTAGAACATGTTTATAAACTGAAAATCACGTAAACGTTAAGACATCATGTACAACTTATTTTTCTGATTATCTTCCAACTTAATCACAAAGAAATATCATAAGATACATGTGACTGTGTATTGAAACACATTTTTGACTCAAATACTGTAAGCAAATTTTAAACATTAGTGATGTGCATTGTAGTAAGTTGGATATGTACTAATACCAGTACCAGACATCCAATTCTATAAAAATTTTCAACAATTTAATATTTTCAAATTTCTCATTAATTTAATTTAAAGTTTCTATAGAATCCTTAATCTATCTACACAGACAATAAAAACTTAACTTCATCAAAAATCTTTAATAGAACAAATCTTTCATTTAGACATCTAAAAAATTCAGTTTATTACAAGAATCAATAGATTAGAAAACAAACTTGTAGAAATGATTAATTTGCCACAACAAATTTGGTTACACCAGTGTAACAAGTAACAAATTTTATCTTATAGACAAACATAATTGTCCAAATCAATGTTTTCATTCTGAGTTGTTTATAAAATTGATATAACAATGTATACTAATTCATATAATTAATAATTGATACCCAACCTCGTTTGTGTAATAATATGAAAAATCTGTCAAATCACCAGGATTGAATGCAGAAGTTAACTTAGCTGCTAAATGCAGATGGAACTATAGCATCAAAACTTATCATTGTAAAAGATTAGAATAACATTTAAAATATAAAACATAAATCTATGGTTCCATCAGAATTTTTAATGAAAAGACATAGATCTATACATATCTTCAGCATCTTCATATTTTGTTTGGTTTGAGTTACTTCCCTTGCCTGAAGAGCATACATGTATGATTTATGTGCCTAGTTTCAATTGTTCATGTTATAACTTCTTGATATATTCCTTATCCTTACTGGTTCAGAAAAAATATATGCATCATTTAAATTTTTCTAAATGGTTTTCAACATCCTATCGAAAGCTTTGGTTTGTACTCAGAAGAAAATTAACATTTTCAAATTGAGAATCTTCCATTATGAACAAATTCAATTATGAACATGCAATTATGATATCAATGATATCCAGAATGTCAGAATTATACATAGAAGTTGTATTAGACATTCTATTTTATAACTATACTTTTCTACAAATGCAAATGTATACCATCTTCTAATTTGAAAAAAAAAATTAAAAAAATTTTAGGATCTACATCTTTATATTTTACTTTCAAATGTTCATTTTGAATGTATTCTGATGTTAATGGTAGTTACAAACATCCCTTTTCATTGATCTAAGTGAGTTCTGTGATAAATCATAGTCGGATTCATAAATTTTGCAATTCAAAGAATTCAGAATCAGCAGCCATTCTTCCACAAGCAATTGTGATATTCCAAACAATAAAAACACTCTGGTCCAGTAAAAGTCACAAGCTAATTTTACAAAAATCTAACTGGTTATAAATCAGCCGTCCCAGAAATCAATCTCAGCTAATGATATATCTTGTCTATGTGTTTTGACAACACAAACCTTGATTAGAAAGAGTTCTTCACAGAGATCTGAATGTCTTTGAACAATGATGTTACACTTTGTATGATAAACGGTATATGAGTATTCAATGAAAGTTGATGATGTTTATGAAACTATAGCCAGATCAAAATATTTTTCCTCAAATAAATAACTAAAATAAAATCTTCCAAAAGTCAAGTTCTCGCACTTCTTTCACACTCCATTAGACATTCGCGTACAAGTATCCTTGCATGCACAATGCCACGCTTGAGTCGCTCTGATGATGTTTTACTGCCAGCATAAGTTGGTCGAATGTCACGTCCCATTTCCTCAATAACAGACAGCAGCTGGGTGTATTTGGTTTGATTAGCCAATGACAGCTGCTGTAGGTGTAGTTGATGTTGCTGTGCTATCATCTGTTGCTGAGACAACCGAATCTGTTGGGCAGGACCTGGAGGAGGTGTGGCTCTCACTTGTTGTTCTCCATCAGATCGGGGTGTGCCTGGGTTACTAATTATCGGAGTGACAGGAGAGTTTGGATTTGAAGCCAAAGCATCCTTTTTCTAAAAGAAATATAAAGGTACCAGTGTAATTCAAGATGTGCAGTAAGTAAAATTTGTTAACCTTCAACATCTTTTTCAGTATCCATTATGTTAACCAGTAAGAAGTGAATAATAAAAATAATACCTATCAATCGAAGTGATGTATCACAAAGTTACACAAGTCAAGTTCAGTCAACTAGAAAAATACTCAGCTTTCTAATGTCATCTGTTTTAAGATTTACAAATATCAAAATGTAACAGAAATCATTTGTTGTAAAATTCAGCACAATCAATTTGAAAATCATTATGCTTTCTTCTAATGTATCCCTCCATATTATGCGTCCTTAGTCAAAAACACTTGTGTAACAGGGTAAATTGGAGCAAGTGTCTGTAACGTCCTGTTTAATCTGTATTCGTTACTGTACGTGCATTTATGTGTATGTCCTTATTTGGTGTTACCTGTTAGGTAGTGTCAGTGTCTGTCCTTATATGGTGTTGTCTTGAGATGTGTACATGTCCAGGTATGACAGGTGAGGAAGTCGTGCAAGAGTGAGTGTGTAGGGTAATAAAACTAGGGATACCCCTGGGTGCTGGGCAGAATCACAGATTAGCCACGTCGTTCTGGACGTCCTCGGGAGTCCAGGCGCCACATATAGCTACAGTTAAGTGACTGACACGACCCGACGGTCGGTGTAGTGATGTGATTGAAATCCTAAATCAGGGGTATTAATAAAAAAACGTTCAACACACAACAAATTCGAGTTGATGGTGTGACACTTGTACTGAAAAAACTGTTATCTTTTTTGAGGATATTCTTGCTGATGGAAGCTTTATAAAATACATGTACTTTTCTATTGTCTAGAGTTGGCATTTCTAACACTCATATTATACCTTAGCACTTTTTCTTACTCTTCAAAGTAATACAAAATTTCAAAAATCGCGAAAAACCGCTTCGTTGGTTGGCAGTATTCCACATTTCGGCTCGGTGCTATATTTGTTAAATCATTACTCCTGACAGAGTCAAGACAGTTCAAGTATTTAAGATATTTCGTCCTAAAAAATATAATGTTTTTTTGTGGACGATTTGTCTCACAATTTCAAACAAAAACAAAACAGCGTGGGGCACGTGAAGGGCAAGTTAAATCAATTCATATGTGGTTATTCATGTTGCAAAATAAATTAAATTTATTTGTTCCGCGGTGCGAAACACGAGCGATGTTCAAATGTTAGATGTGATTATAATAAATACCACTATATCTTTTTCCATTCTTCTTATATGGCGAGTTCGACCGGAAATGGAAATGGAAACGTTTTCCAAATCCGAAAGGAATTTGTTCTCGAAACGAAATATTTTTAGCATTGATAATAGTTATTCTGATATACATAGAAATAAATAATATATTCATAAGAAAAAAATACAATAATTTATATAAACTACTATTGTCAGTATATCTATATCTAAAGAGATCAATTTTCATGTATTTCGTTTGTTTGAGCCTTGTAGAAATTTTATCTTCTGAAAAGATGGCGACGAAAAGCGGAGGCATCGACCGTGTTGTAGCGAAATGCAGAGCATGTGTCGAGGGAGGGAACTTTTATGAAGCTCATCAGATGTATAGAACACTTTATTTCAGGTGAGAAATTAGCATCAACATTATTCAATTTACTACGTATGTACTACGCGCGCATACTTTTTTTTGTATTTTAGAAGAACGGTTTCGGTGACGTCTGCTAACTTTTTCTGGCATGTTCCCTTTTTAACCTTAGATATCTGCACAGAACAGACCACGTTGTAGATTGTAACAAACATTGAAATAAAACGTCAAATTAGATTAACGATTAAGATGTGAATGATTCTTATTGATGTTTCATTCACGATGAGATGCTTTGAGTGTACGGCCGGTTCTGAATTTTTAAGGTGCGTTATTGTATCAGTAAAGTGCGCATACAATATGATCATGTCAAGAAAAATTGAAATGATTATTATCAATTGACTTTGATAGAGTTTATCACATTACATGTATTAATGTGTGGCTCTCACACCCCATTTTGGATTGGGAAAGGGGCCGAATATCGGCACCAAATCTGGCAGATCGAGAGCCCTGTTATTGTCAATACAAATAGAGAGGCAATATATAATCGATGTCAAAACGAATAGCCCAAACACCAAATGTGCAAATGATAAATGTATAGCTTTTATATCGATGGCTATATGTTCTTGTTGACGAAACATGGGACTAGTGTGGAGAACTTCTGATACCAGGTACATATATATCTCAGGGCTCTCACACCCCATTTTGGGACTGGGGCCTTTAGAATTGGGAAAAATATTGGTGTTTTCCTTAGAATTGGGATTTGCCCCAAATCTGGCAGATCGAGAGCCCTGCATCTACTGCCTTATCAGACCTGTCAACAATTGGGTTTTCCCTGGGTACACCAGTTTCCTCCCACAATAAGACCTATCACGCACTTCTGGGCCAACAAGAGTGATTAGTATAAGTTGAAATAACATGTTTTGCAATTGTTGTAAAATGAATCAATTTTATTTCTTTTTTTTTTTTTTTTTTTGTATTTGTTTTATTTTTTCAGAATTTTTTATACAATGCAAAGTACAATATAATTAATAATTGTAATGTTCAAAAGTCTTGCATACATTTCCCTCACTTCCATTTCATACAAACACATTCACTACAATTCTCAAATGTTTACATTGCATAGTATATCATGGGAAAAAAAGAGAAAAGGAAAGTGTGAAAGTAGAAAGAGGATGAGAAAAAGACACAAACACAAATACCCACATGGGTAAGAAAAGGACACAAACAAAACAGATACACACAAAAGGGAAAAAAAGACAAGACACACACACACATGCAGAGAGACAGAGAGAGATGTCAGGAAAAGAGAGAGAGATGTCAGGAACCCATAAGTAAATATCTATATCTATGACTGGCAAAGGAAAACAGGAGTGAGTGGAGAATATGTGATGTCAGTGACAAATGTCATATTATACAGTTATAGCAAATTTTGTTAAAATATTTGTATTTCCAATGAAAAAGAATAGATGTTAATAATTTCTATACAATTTATCAATGATATACATAAGTCTTAAAAGTGAAATTCAGCAAATTGAAGATTCAGGAGATAGTAATTAAATTTTGCCATTTTTTTCCAATCATTTTGAAAATTGTTATTGTATGTGTTATCTTTACCTGCTGCAATGTAGTTTTGTGTAATGTAGTTGTCCTTGATTGCTTTTTTCAGACCATTTATTGATAGATTTTTTTGGAAGCATCTTGATGAATAAATATATTGTTTTATAATTAAAATAATTGTGCTGTCTATTGATGTTCTTATACCTTCTTGATTATGAAGTTAAAAGATAAAAGTCTCTATATTATGAGCAAAAGGGATCATTAAAGCATCTATTAAAAATTCAAAATTTTGTAACATATCCTGAACCTTATCACATTCCCATAGGGTATGTTCTATTATTTCCATATGTTTTACAAAAATTACAATAGGGACTATCAGCTATTCCTGCCTTAAATAAGAATGAGTTTGTTGTTAGAATATGTTGATTGATTCTGTATTGAAGCCATTGTAATTTTGAATTTTTGGTAATTTGAAAAGGCATTTTGTATATTGTATATATTTTGTAATTAGTGTCTCTATTGATTAAGTCACTGATAATTATACCCTTATTGTACCAGTCCCTATATTTACTTTTATTATATTATTGTACCATAATGGTGTTTTAGCCAATATATCTGGGGATTGTTTTAAAATGTGTTTATTTGTTAAGTTTATCCATGTCTCAAAAATATCTTTCCAAAATAAATTCTTACAATTTTAATGACATATTGAAATATATTCAGGTCCACAGTTAGCTAAAATATGATTATCAACAAAAGTTCTTAAAATCACTTGCCATTTACTTGTATAGAGTCTCCTTAACCATGTTAGCTTAAGAGATTCGATAAAAGATTTTACATGTATCATTTTTAGACCTCCATCAATGTATTTTTTAATAGTTATATCTCTTTTGACTTTATCCACCTTACTTTTCCATAAAAAAACAGTACAGTTCTGTGTTTAACTTTTTCAGAAAACGATCATCTGAATTTGGCAATGAGATAAAGAGGTGATTAAACTGAGAAATTAATAATGCCTTTATTATATGAATTCTACCTATTGGAGTCAAAATTCTTCTTTCCCAAATTCTAAGTGCCTTTTTCTTTATTAGTTTTTTATCATAGTTTAATTTAGGTATTCGGTGTAGATCCACATGAAACTCAATGCCTAAAAGTATAATTTTTTTATTTCCCCACTGTAAATCTAATTCAGGGTACACAACTTCATCACTATATTTTTTACTCCCAATCCAAATAGCCTGCGTTCTAGAAACGTTTATTTTAATCCAGATATTTTTGCAAAAGCTTTTAGTTCATCTATTGATTCTTTAAGTGATCTCTCTATACTGTCCAAAATAAGTGTAGTGTCATCTGCATATTGAGAAAGTAAAATCGGAATATTATCAATATCAGTACCTTTTATATTTTTATTGTTCCTTATTCTAATAGCTAAAATTTCAGCACACATTATAAATATATATGGTGCGATTGGTTCTCCCTGCCTACAGCCTCTCTGAATTTCAAAAAATGGAGACAAATTTCCCCCTTGATTAATAGCTGAGCTTGATGAAGCCCAATAAAATTTGCTAAAAAAAATAACCTTGACCCATATAGGCTAGTCAATTTAGCCCCGATTTAGCCAAACCTCAAAAAAATTGCAACAAATGTATTTTTCACATATTTTGATAGATCAGGGTCCTATAAAACACAGGTAAAAAATCGTCCCTTCAAATTAGGTGGGAAACCCCTTTTCTGGGTCAGTATATAGGACACCTTGAATTTTGCATGTAATCATCGATGCTCTGCTCCATTTGCGAAAATTACAATCAAGGTCATCTAAATAAGAACACGTGCAGGACTGCCTTATTTTTAGAACTTCATTCCCATGAAATAATGAAGGCGCAATATATCAATCCCGAATAGTGACTGTAAAAATTGGCAGGAAACATTTTGTAAAGGTCATTATAAAGGACACCCTACAATTTCTATATAATCAATGACCCCAGTTGTATTAGATGCGTTTAAAATAATGGTCATCTAAATATGAGTATATTTGTGGTAAACTGACTTACAATTAAGTGCATTTCTATATTGTTTTACAGTGTGTAAGAATATTCCTATATTATGACTGTTAAATATAGCCGGAATGTCTCTGCATTGGTCATTATATAATATGTTTCCAATATGCTACTGACTGAAGAAATCATTATCAGTAAAATTATGATAAATTCAAATAATGTCTGTTAAAATTGTACAAACATCCGGGCAAACAAGTGGCTGTTGTCGTTAAAATAATTATCACAGGAATCTGAATTTACTAAATTTCTTCTTGCAAATCATGCACAGTAATATCGTTCAAATAATAGTTCCTTGGTGTTCTCATTTGCATAGTACTGGATATTTATTTTTGCCAAAGATACCACGTGCTCCTTTGATATCATTGGTCTTGGAATAGGTTTTCCAAATTTGTAATTCGGAGTTAGCATACCCATGCCATGAAATGTCCCAAAGCCATCAATAGTTCTAGTGTTGTGGTCAACGTTGTCCGCGATGTATTGTATGCAATGGTCTTCCTGTATAGAAATATCACTTTCTGCATTTACCGTTGCTGCACAGCTTTCAATGTCTGAACCTCTGTGTAGGAAGCACAAAAACCCAGCTTATTCAGAGTATCCAATAAGAATCTGGAACCAAACTGGTGGTGAAATTGTACACCAACTGAAATTTGTAAAGGCGCCAAAAAGTTTCTTGGTTTGATAGCCTGCACAATTGCATGTCCAGTCGAAGATATCTTCAAGTTTTTATCTTTCACAAGAATAAGGGAAGACAAAAACGAGAAATAGATGGACGGTGGTATTCAATGTGTTTCTCTTCAGACGAAATTTCTTCGGCCGATGTTCGGCCGATGGATAGTGAGTTTTTGAAGTTTCTACAGCACAGACATCTTCTCTTATTAACGCTGCAGCAGCTTTGATTATGGCACTTTTCTCTTCTTCTTGGTCTTTGGATTTAGGTCTTTTATAAAAATCATGCAATATAGATTTTGCATTTGATGTTAATGTCACTATGTTTTGCTTTCCGTTCATTTCAGTTATCACGATCTCATTTCCAAAGTGTTCTTTTAGACGGTCCTTCATGTATTGTTGACCATATGCATTTTCTGCTCCAGAATGTTCAGACACCTTCTCAACAAGATCAGATATACTGATTTGTGAATCTGCATTTTCGCGCAAGTACGACGCAGCATAAAGGAAACTTTCATTGAGAGTGGAAGGTCATCCTTTTTTTGCAGAATACGACTCCCCTGGTTTAGAATTGAACATTCTAAAGTTCGTACTGCATTGATGATGGTATATAGCATCAAATGCATGCAGATCAGAAGTGAATTGAATTCTTCCAAAAACTTCGTTTCCCAACTCATCATTTCTTTGTTTTCACATTTCTCTTAGTGTTTGGTCGCAATTATCAGTTTTTATTGCAGATACGTTCGATCCGCGTTTGAG